GTCTTCCCTAGCTCTCTCAGCTGCTCAGGCATCGTCCTTGACTTTCTCTTTCTTCCACACCCCATATGCAACTGGTTAGCAAATGTCGGTGGCTGTACCCTCAACATTTATCTGGAACCCGGCTGCTGCTTACCACATCCCTGCTGGCTTCCTGGTCCCAGCCTAGTGGTGTCTCTGCTTCCAGCCGTGGCCTCTGCCCTCGCTCTACTCTTTTAACACAGCAACTGAAGGGATTCTCTAGAAACACCGGTCTGGTGATGTCCCTGCTCTGCCCAGAACACTCCACGGCTTTCCATCTCTCTCAGAGTACAATCTGCAAATGGCTACTATTTCCTGCTGCATGACTTGACTTTTTTTTTTTTTTTTTGTAAATTCAGTCAATACCTCATTCTATACCATGGATTGAATGTTCCATGGTGTAGACTTCTTACTATCTCTCTGAATTCATCGACTGTCCTCCCCCAGCTCATGCCACTCTTGCCACAAGCCTCTTTACTGTTTGTGAGCACACCAGCCATGCTTATTCTGCCACAGGACCTTTGCACGTCTATTCCTTCTGCCTGAATAATCTTCCCCAGGAAACTGCCTGGCTCACTCCATGGCTCGCTCACTCCGCGGCTCGCTCACTCCTCAGATCTTTAGTCACCTTCTCAATCAGGCCCTCTGTGACTGCCATATTTAAAATTATAACTCTCTGTACTCTCTAACCTCTGTTCCTACCTTATTGTCATCCAAAAAATTACACAGTTTTAAAATTAATGTGTTTATTATCTGTCTCCCTCACTAGAATATCAGCTCCACAAGGATATGGGATTTTGTCTGTTTTGTTCACTGCATAGCCCAGTGCACAACCACTGTTGTTGAATGAATAAATGATCCCAAATGAAAAACGTCACCTACCTTTGTCACTAAACTGTATCCTTTTCAAACAAAGTGCTTTGCAAAATCCTTATCTTTTTAACAGGGCAATTCTAGTGTTTATCTGTAGTTTCAGGTCCTGGCTAATTATCAGAAAGTAGATGTAGACTTCTGTCTCCGCCACACCCCCCTTTATCTCTGGGGAGTCCCTGTCCTGGCCTGGAAGAAACTTTTAATTGATCTCAGTAAAGTTGTCCTCTATCTCCTCCACCCCGGGGCCCTTCGAAGCTTTCTTGCCTAGAGAAACATCCTGGCCTGCCTTGGCTTTGCTGCCTCACCTGAAACTCCTTCTTTCCTCCCAGGCCCCCAGTATGTTCCCTGGAACAGAACGGTATTGAGGCTGACTGCGGTTCCCACGTTCACTGTGCGCAGTTTGTGCCGGAGAGCTTGCTGAAAGGGTTTCAAACTGCAGACGGTCTCAAGCCAAACCACAGTCATGCTTTTAATGAATCGGTTAAAGCAACCCTATGGAAAAGGACAGTGGGTGTGGAGAGGAAGAGCTCTCATTTATGAAAGATCTTTTGCCAGAGCCTGCTGATGTCACTTACTTTTTGGCTCCTGGGCCAGCCCTTTGGAAACTCAGGGCTGCTGTTCTGGGCGAGCCAGGGTCTCAGCCCGTGTGTGGGGGTCCCCTGGGGGAGCTTCCGAGAGGGCTGCTGACAGCCAGCAACTCTTGGCTGGAAGCCCCACCACACAGGGGGAGCTCGGCGCTGCCGAGAGCAGGGGAGGGATGATGGAGAGATAGATGCGGAGGGAGGATGGATGAAGACGGGGACACAGACGTCAGACAGACCTTGGGGGTTGAATCCAACTCTCGTCTTCCAGCCGGGGGTCTGGGCACTTCCCTTCTTGCTCACCCGCCAGTTACTTTCCTTTCCTGTAAAGCGTCAGAATAGCACCTGCCTCGTGGAGTGACTGACGCAAAGGAGGTGGCCCCGCGTAGTACACGCAGCAGTGACTCAGCTGTCAGTGTTAATTTTTTTTTTTTTTTTGAGACAGAGTCTCACTCTGTTGTCCAGGCTAGAGTGAGTGCCGTAGCATCAGCCTAGCTCACAGCAACCTCAATCTCCTGGGCTCAAGCAATCCTCCTGCCTCAGCCTCCTGAGTAGCTGGGACTACAGGCATGCGCCACCATGCCCGGCTAATTTTTTCTATATATATTAATTAGCCAATTAATTTCTTTCTATCTATAGTAGAGACGGGGTCTCACTCTTGCTCAGGTTGGTTTTGAACTCCTGACCTCTAGCAATCCGCCCACCTTGGCCTCCCAGAGTGCTAGGATTACAGGCGTGAGCCACTGCGCCCGGCCTGTGCTTACTCAGCACCAACCACACACCCATCCCTCATGGAACGTTCACGACTAAGGACACACCCAACTCTAGGTGGACACCCGAAAATGACCTAAATTCCAAGGGCTGCTCTTCCTATTAAACTACCTTTAAAAGAAATAATGTATATGTATTTAACAAAAACATAGACACTCATATTAATGAATATATACGCATTTCTTTCTCAGTCTGGCTAGTCCTCTCCTGTCAAGTGGTACTCCGGCAGGCACCGGGGCGTGCCAAGACTCGGGCCACCTGCTCGTGTGGATGTGGGTGTGACCCAGCTTGCCCGGCTGGCCACGCTAACCACAGGTGAATCATTTGGTCTTCATCGAGCTGGTGGGGCTAGGACGGGCGGTCCCGGGCCCTGGCTGGAAAGCTACCTCCTGGGCTGGAATCCTAGAGAGCGCTTCCTGCGGAGAGCCTGGGAGGATGGTAGAGAAAGGATGTCCTGACAGCAGAGTGTGTTGCCTTTGGGTTTATGTCTACATTTCTGCGTGTCGGAGCAGGAGGGTGGGAAGGCAGAGGTGGGGTGGTGGTGGGTGGGTGGGTGGAGGGTGGGCGGTGGGAGAAGAGGATCTTGGAGGGAGAGGTCACCCTGAGACTGTTTCCAAAGGGGATTCTTCTAAATGAGGGCTGCGGTGGGGGTGGGGGCAAGGATGAAGATGAAATACATTTGGAAAAACTGTTATTCATCTGGGTGTGACTCCTATTCTGTCTTAAAAAAAACGATGGCACGAAATGTGTTATTTCTTTCATAATTAGAAAAAAATGTTAAAAATGAAAATAAAAAGCCAACTACGTGGAAGACTTTTGATGACGGTTGGAGGGACTTTGTATCATTTTTTGACTCAGAATACTGACTCGAACCCCTAATCCAGCACTTCACATCCACAGCCTCATAGAATGGCTTCCACATCACGTGTGCTGGCTTTGAGTCTATAAGTGGGCTGAGAACTTACTGGACACAGACCTTCCCCAGCGAGGAGGGGGCTGGGCCAGAGTAGTTGCTCCCAGGATTTGCTATGGAAGCCCCCGTTGAAAGCCTCCGACCTTCTTTCATGAAAAATTTACATTGTTTAAAAAACCGGCAGGTAATAGTTAAAATTTACATAAGTGTTTCATCATTTTCACCTACATTTTTGAATATGACCCTTACAACAACACTGGGCAGGTAAGTTTTATTATTGTTAGTATGCTACCTGTCAGTGAACTAAGCTCAGAGAGGTTAAGAGACTTGCCTGAGATCACACAGCCCATTAGAGGCAGAGATGAAATTTTTGAGTCCTTGCAGAGTAGCTCATGGCGTGGCTATAGTGTTTATAAGATATATTATAATTCAAATGATCTCTTTTGGCATTCTAACAGACTGTGCTTTAGGAAAAGGAGATAGTATTATTCTTTTTGAATAGGTAAATTAAGTAGTTTCCTCAGTGTGACAAAGGGGTAAGTGTTAGATTCCCAACTCCAAGGTCTCTTTGCTCTCTACTTCCAAGTGCTGCCCCCAAAGTTTGTGCATGTCATGAGCAGGAAAGCGGGTGTGTGTGCTTGTGTGTACACATGCATGTAATGTTGTTCCCAGAAACAAAGGAGAAGGCTACATTATTTGCTTCTGGGCAATAAGCACTTCACGGCCCAGCTCGGAGGACTGGTAAGTCCCTAATATCAGGATGAAGCATGAGGAAATAAAACCCAAAATAAGTACAGTGGCTTTTGCCCCTGCACCCCATTCCAGATCCTTCTTCCCTGAGCTGCCCTGTTCTTCCCACCCTGGTTGTCCCTTCTTCCCTGACACTGTCCTGGGGAAGCAGGAGGCTCGTCCCAGGCCACCAAGCTACTCTCCACCCCGCTTTGGATCTCTAGAAACACCTACGGGCCCGACTGGAAGGAGCCCCGGTTCTTTTTCCAGTCCTTTCTGGGCGAGTGAAATCGGTTGACTTCAGACAGTGGAAAGATTTCAGTGCAGACTGGCGAGGGGTGGGCAGCACTCCTGGGTCCTCGTTTCCTAACTGTGACAAAGTCTAATGAGCTCAGGGGCTGCCAGGGCCACCCAGGCAGAGCCAGTATCAGGGTCATAGAGAAAAGATGCCCCCCAGCTTCTTTCCCTGAGCCACATCCCAGGGAAAGGAAGTCGTGGTGAGAGAAGAGACTTTGCTGGGGCCCCTTCCTTCCCGTTGGGGGCAGCAGGGACACACAGGGTGCAGAAGGGTCTCTCTGTCCCCACCTGCCACCGGGCCAGCTCTACCTGTCTGCAGAGACGCGTGCCCTCCTGCCCGGGAGGCAGCATGGAGACCTTCATCCCGGCAGCCCAGGCCAAGAACGTCTGCCCTGGTTTCCCAGGGAGCAGGCCTTGAGCATCCCAGCCCCCGTGGCACCGTGATTTTAGCAGCAGACCTTGCACCTGCTCTCCAGAGGTTCTGCCCCAGCTGCAGCAGCTGGTGGGGGAGCCTGAGGGAATCTGTCCACCTTCTGTGCAGCAGAAGCAGCTCTCTCTGGCATGCCAGAGAGGGATGCCCTCTGGGTTCCCCACCTCGACCAAGTTCCCTTTAGCAGCTCTGATTTTTTTCCCCATGTGGCTTCCCCATCACCCTCTAGCAAGAACGTGTCAACAAGCACAGAGCAATTGGCAGAAAGGAGAGAAAAGGAGGGTGTGGGGCTTCTAATGTCTTTCCCTCCGCTTATGACCCTCCAAACCCCTAAATGTATCTAGGAATAATGAGCATCCAATAAACACATGAATAAAAAGCAACTCACCCCTGCTCCAACCGTGGGACACGGTCGCCTGGGCGTTGTAATACAACAGCAGAAGCAGCAACGTCTTCCAACGCATCTTGTCTTCAGGAAGGATGAAAGATTGACCCTCAAACCCAATGGGACCACAGCAGTCACAGGTATGCCTGCGACAGTCCTCCCAGGGAGACAGCAGCGTGCTTCTGGGTCTTTCCTTTGCAGCAGAGCAGAGATGCCCCCCCTGCCTCAGAAGGGTGGAGGCCGGAGGCTGCGTCCTGGGTGGGACAGGAGTCGGCACCTCTCTTGATCCAACTCTCTCCGGGATTGGGGGACCGGGTTTCCACAGAGAGACTCTGTTTTTGAGCACATCTGGAGTGACTCACGGGGCATGTGATCTCCTTGGCAGTGGGGTGGATAAATATAATTTCTGTACTTGAGTTCCATGTGTTGGATGCACCCACTGGAATTTTTCTTTAACAAACAGACCCGAGGAACTTGCTAGAGAGCCTCTCGGAGAGTTGGCCGCCCTCCCCGTCCACACATACTACAGCAGAGCCAGGGCGAGGGCTGGCGGGAGAGGCGGGAGCCCGCCTGGCAGACACCGGGGCTGGCCGAGCCCAGAGTTGCCTTCAGGACAGCGAAGTCACTGCAGTGCCCGGGCTGAGTGTCACTGTCGCCCTTCCCTGCAGCTACACCCAGACCGTTGGTGCCTAGGGCTGGTGCCTGGCATCTGCCCGGGTTCTGGGTGGGTGAGGAGTGGGCAGGTTGAGAGGTAGCAGAAGTGGGGAAATGACATGGTGCCTCGGTGTTGTCTGTGTGGGTAATGATCCTGGAGCCCAGAGGTGGCCCCACTCGCATTGGTGATGTCCCCGTTTCTGGACTGTGCCAACCTGCTTTGAATCTCCCAAGCAAATGGTAGTGTTTTTCCATGATCAATTTAATATACTGCCATAGACACCTTGATTTTGTCCGATACCACTTCCTCACCTTCTCTAAAATTAAAGACGGGGAATGCTAGAGCTTGGGGACATTGAAAGATTATGTCATCCTGTGGGTTTCCAACCTGTGGAGGGGGTCCCCGGGGGGGGGATGGGCTGCTGGAGAGGGCTCCTCGAGGGTCTCTGCCACTCAGGCAGGGCTCCTCTTTTATCTGTTGTAAGAAGTTGTTTGGAAAAAAAATACCGGACTCTACAATTTGAAAACCACTGATCTCGCTAATATTAGTAATAGCTGTTGGGTGCTTCATTTGTTTCAGACACCGTGCTGGGTGCTCTCCTTGTGTGAACTGATTTAACATGCCCACCAAGCTACAAGGAACGTACAGAATGGCACTCTCCAACAGAAATACAAAGCGAGTCGCAAAAGTAATTTATAATTTTCTAGTACCCATGTTAAGAAATGTAAAAAGAAACAGGTGCAATTAATTGTAATAATATCTTTTATTTAACTCAATGTATCCAAAGCATTCTGATTTCTACATATAAGCCATGTCATAAATATTAACAGGGTATTTTATATTCTTTGTTTTACATAAGTCTCAAATGTATATGTCGTCACACTTATGGCATATTGCAATTCAGACCAGCCACATTTCAAGTACTCAAAAGCCACATGCGTACACCTTGTAATGAGCAGGTAAAAAAAAAAAGGGAAAAAAGAAAAAAAAGAAAGATTGTTAATAAGAAAAAAAAAAAAAAAAAAAAACCACATGAGGCCAGTGGCTGCTGCACGGGCAATGCAGGGCTAGAAGGTGGAAGGGCGGGCTCTGGGGCCAGATGCCTGGCTCTGAATCCCAGCTCTGCCTCTTACTGGCTTTGTGGAGTTCCTTGATCTCTCTTGGCCTTGATTTTCCTCATCTATAGAATGGGGATAATAACAGTTTCTTCTTCACAGGGTTGTGAGGAGTGAACAAATTGATTTGTATAGATGCCGAAAATGCTATCTGGCACATAGTAAGCATTCAGTACACGTGAGCTATACACACATGAAGACATGGGCTCAGAGGGGTTACATGCTCAAGGTCACTCAGCTAGTGGAGCTGGGATTTAAGCCTAGGACTGTGTGATTCCACAGCCTGCATGTAAAGCTACCCCCCCAGCCGACCTCAAAGCCTTACACGTTGGGAAGCCCTTCGTGGAGTGCCGGTAAATCGGTTCTGGAGGGGCAGGAAGGAGCCCCGATTTGTTGCGGTCGCCAATTTCCCTGGTGTAAATACTCCCCCCTAAATGATTTTCAAGTTATGGATCATTTAACAAGCAACTTGCAAAATTTCTGAAATGTTAACAGTCAGCTCTCAGGAAGCCCGTCCCAGCTGGCTCTGGCATCTTTGCCATGAGGTTACTTCTGCTTGTTCTGACTCTGTCTGCTTGTGGTGTGGTGTTTTCCTTTTGTACGTTGTACATCTGCGAGCATCGCCCGAAGGACATAGCGCAGGATGGTGAGCACCTGAGGCTGCCCACGGAACAGCTGCTGATGGACGCAGGGCCTCCCTGTTCTCTGAGAGAGGAAGGGGATGGGGAAGGAAGATGGACATGACAGGCCATAGGAGTCCAGACCAGAAATCACGACCTTGGCCTCCAGTCCTGGAGTTTTTTGCATCTGCAGGCTCAAATCTCTGAACTGTCACCTACTAATTACTAAGCTAGGGTGAGGATTAGCTTTTGGATTCGGGCTGGGAGTGCACGTGTGTGCAACTAGCTGCATCTCATGAGATGATGAGCCAGGCCTTCTCTCACCACGGCACCTTGGCACCGGGAGCCACGTGTCTGCAGTTGCTCAAGGAGCCTGATTGAAGTCTTGGGAAACCCTGGCCTGGGATACAGTCCTGATTTTTCTTCTCTTTCCACATTTTTCTTGTTCCTGCTGCAATTCTGTGTGCACCGATTGAGACTGGCAAGGAAACAGATAACACTGCCTTTTGTAACAGAGCACAGCAAAACACAACAGTGGTGTTCCCAGAGCTATTATTGATTATAAAGAATACTTTAGGGGGATGTTCTACTTAAGACGGTAGTTGTCAACTACATCTTCACTTCGAACTCCCACAACACCTCCCTGTATCTCTCAATCAATTTTCCAGCTTAGTTACATCTGCCATTTACTGAGTTGAGACTACAAGCCTTGTTTTATCTCATTCAATTTTCCCAGTAATTCTGTTCAATAGATAATAAAAGAGTCCATTTTACATGTGGCAACCTAAAGCTTAGGAAGAATACATAACTAGGGTTGGCCGGGCACGGTGGCCCACGCCTGTAATCCTAGCACTCTGGGAGGCCGAGGCAGGTGGATTGCTCAAGGTCAGGAGTTTGAAACCAGCCTGAGCAAGAGTGAGACCCCCGTCTCTACTAAAAATAGAAAGAAATTGGCTGGACAACTAAAAATATATAGAAAAAATTAGCCGGGCATGGTGGCGCATGCCTGTAGTCCCAGCTACTCAGGAGGCTGAGGCAGAAGGATTGCTTGAGCCAGGAGTTTGAGGTTGCTGTGAGCTAGGCTGACACCACGGCACTCTAGCCCGGGCAACAGAGTGAAACTCTGTCTGAAAATAAAATAAAATAAAATAAAATAAAATAAAATAAAATAAAATAAAATAACTAGGGTTACACAACGACCACATGGTAAACACTTCCGCATACTGCCTGGCAGGGGCTGGGATGAGAATGAGAAAACCAAGAAAGTGGCCTCTGTACATGGGACGCACAGGGAGTGTCAGCACCGCTTTGTTTATCCTTCACTTGTTCGCTCATGCATTCATTCATCTAGTTTTTGAACATCTCCCCTGTGCCAGGTAGCAGGTGTACCACGCCAAGTAAGACACGGTCCCTGCCGCCCGAGATCTTCCCAGTAATGGGGAAACAGACCCCTCTGCAGGTATTTAGAATACCTGGTGTTACCTGTAATGATTAAGGATTCTTGGTAGAAATTGTGAGAGAGAGGGGTATCAGGGAAGGCTTCTTGGAGGAGCTGATCTCCGAATTAAGTTTTGGAGGATGCGTTGGACTTAACAAGACTGCGAGAGGAGTCCTGGTGACAGAGGGGACAGCCTGGAAAACAGCACCTTGAGGAGAAACGGCTCGGTGGAGACTCGGAACCACACGGGTTCAGCCTTGTTGGGGGATCACGCAGGAGGCAGGAGTGGCAGCTGCAGGCAGGCGGGTAGGACAGCGTCCTGGCGATAGCATCGCCAGCCACATCTTGGGCTGTCCCCTGCTAGTGACAGGGAGTCCTGGAGGGTCCTCAGCAGCTTTATGGTTGGCTCTGCAGGTGGACTTGACAGGTGGGAGCCAAGAAGGTGCAAAGTTAGAGGGAACCGATTCGGACGTGAACCAGGGCAGGGATTTGAGAAAGAGCGAGGAGGCGACGTAGGCAACACACAGGGATGTCTCCCAGGAGAGGGATCTGGGGAGACGGAGCTTAGTGAAGTGTTGCTCTGACTTGGTTCCCCGGGAGGTTTGCTCCCCGCTGGCCCTCAGAGATGTGCTGCCGTCTTGCCCACCACCCTGGGGATGGCGCCTGTCTAGCGAGAGTGCTCTCTTCTGCGACAGGTTCTCTGCTGTGATTTGCCGCTGTGCGGATGGGAGGCGGTATAAATTCTTTCCGGAGAGGAGTCACTCGTGAATTGGGACAGGAACGAAACATAGATCCCCCTTGGAGGGAGATGGACACCCGGTGACAGATCTCTGCTGGGTTTCCTCCCTTAGCCAAGAGGGGCCGTAAGGTCCCTTCTCTGGTTGGCTTCCTTCACGGACAAATGAATGAATGGGGGCGTGATGGAGACAGAACTCCAAGTTAATCTTGTTTCTAGTTTGGAAACAGACAATCCTATGGCACTGTTGTGTTTCCCTCACGAGGAGAGAAGAAAAGAGTCACAGGTTTTCAACAGTTAGGAGGTTCGTGTCCAGCTTGGAGCCCTCCCCTCTGGCTCAGTACCCAGGTTCTGGGTCGTGTGAGCCTCTCTGGGTGTCTGCTCAGCCAGCACCTTTAGGCTGGCTTCTGTTTTAAGGCTGTGAGTGAGACAATCTGGTATGACAACAGACACACAACTGCAATCTTTCACCTTTTTTTTTTGAGACAGAGTCTTACTCTGTTGCCTTGGCTAGAGTGCCATGGCATCAGCCTAGCTCACAGCAACCTCAAACTCCTGGGCTCAAGCAATCCTCCTGCCTCAGCCTCTTGAGTAGCTGGGACTACAGGCATGCACCACTATGCCCGGTTAGTTTTTTCTCTATATATTTTTAGTTGTCCAGATAATTTCTTTCTATTTTTAGTAGAGACGGGTTCTCACTCTTGCTCAGGCTGGTCTTGAACTCCTGAGCTCAAACAATCCACCCGCCTCGGCCTCCTAGAGTGCTAGGATTACAGGCATGAGCCACCGCACCGGCCAATCTTTCACATTTTGTAAATCCTTC